TTTATGTGGCCTACCACTTCGTGGCTGAGTTGCTGTTGTTCCCAGTTGCTTCCACTTTGCTTCCACTTTGCTATAATACCACTAACAGGTGACCGTGAAATATTTAGTAGCAATTTACGGAACACCTGACGCCAATGATTTGGAGGGGTGTCCCAATACTTCTGGCAAAATACTGTATATTACATTACGATTAAAATGACATGTGGGGGGGCGGGGGTGGATATATTAAGCAGCAAGTCAACATTTTGTTTCTGAAGTTGATGTGTTTGAAGCAGAAAAAATGGGTATAAGTGTAAGGATTAGAGTAACTTTGACAAGAGCCAAATTGTCATGTCTAGACGACTGGGTCAGAGCAACTCCCAAACTGCAGCTCTTGTAGGATGTTCTTAGTCTGCAGTGGTCAGGACTACCAAAAGTGGTCCATGGAAGGAAAACTGGCGAACCGGCAACAGGGTCACGGGCAGCCAAGGCTCACTGATGCAAGTGGGAAGCGAAGGCTGTCCTGTGTAGTCCGATCCAATAGAAGAGCTACTGTTGCTCAAATTGCTGAAAAAGTTAATGCGAGTTCCGATAGAAAGGTGTCTAATCACACAGTGCATCACAATTTATTGGGTATGGGGCTGTGTAGCCACAGATTGGTCAGGGTGCCCATGCTGACCTGTGTCCACCGCCAAAGGCACCTGCAATGGGCAAGTGAGAGTCAGAACTGGATCATGGAGCAATGGAAGAAGGTGGCTTGCTCTGATGAATCATGTTTTCTTTTACATGTGGATGTTCAGGTGCGTATGTGTCACTTGGGGAAGAGATGGCAGGATGCACTATGGGAAGAAGGCAGGAAAAGGTAGTATGATGCTTTGTGCAATGTTCTGCTGGGAAACCTTGGGTTCTGCCATTCTTATGGATGCTACTTTGTACCACCGTGCCACCTACATAACCTTTGTTGCTGACCTACATGAAAACGGTATTCTTTCAGCAGGATAATGCCCCCTGCCACACTGCAAAAATGGTTTGAAGAACACAACAATCAGTCTGATTTGTTGACTTGGCCCCCAAATTCTCCAGATCTCACTCCAATCGATCATCTGTGGGATGTGCTGGAAAAATAAGTCCAGTCCATGGAGGCCACACCTCACAACTTACAAGACTTAAAGGACCTGCTACGTAGGCTGTGCCTGCTTGTACTACAGTGGGATGAATAAAATGTTGCAGGGGGTGTGGCTATCAGCCTTGTCATTGCTGATTCACAAGCCTGTAGCATGTCAATCACCTGGCCACACCCAGTCCCACCTACTGCTTTCTGGATTGATGGCACCACTTCTGTTGC